GCATCTTAGGCAATTTCCTTCCAATGGGTTTTGTGCCCAACCCATCTCCCGGTTTATGGCCAGTGAGGGGTTAAGGGGGCGAGGTTGTGAGCAAAGAGACTTAATTCGGAAGAGCAACTAGTCTTCATCTTAGAATATTTCCACTCTAAAAAATTGCATAGAAATTGCATCTTTACCCAAACTCATACATTTAGGAAAGTTATATTGTTAAAGACAGTGGCCTCTTTTTCTTCTTTTTTGTTCCTTACAACCTCCACTTTTCTTTCTTTCTTTCTTTCTTTATCTTTCTTTCTTCCTTCCTTCCTTTCCTTTCTAAATTGCCTGCAAACCCATGAACATTGGACAATGATGTGCACATAATGTGTACTTTAAGGAAATTCCCTCCCTCTCCCCATTCCTTCCTGATCAATCCTTGACTCTTTTCAGTCCCAATGTAGACTAAATTAAAACTAATTTAATTTTCTAATCCCATATAACATGATAAAAGAGAGGTTGAGGCTGGGATTTAAACTTTAAAAGGAGAACACGAAAGATGGGTGAGGTTAAGAAACCAAGATGGATGTGAGGTCAGGAATAGATTTTGCCTGCTAATTTTCAGAACAGCTCATCATTTGAGTGGCGGGAAGGGAATTTCAGTCCTTTCATAGCTCCTTTCTCCATTTTCCTCTAAGTTCTGAATAAGATTTTTCCATGTGGCCATCAAAAGTTCCTGCTGAGAAAGCAGTTCAGCTAAATAGCAATAGAATTGAGACTTATATATCACTTCACAGTGCTTTTACAGCCCTCTCTAAGCTGCTTACAGAGTCAGCCTCTTGCCCCTCAACTATCTGGATCCTCATTTTACCCACCTTGGAAGGATGGAAGGCTGAGTCAACCCTGAACTGATAAGGATCAAACTCCTGACAGTGAGCAGAGTTAGCCTGCAATGCTGCATTCTAACCACTGCGCCACCACAGCTCTTTCAATGCCAGACACTCAAGGTTATTCCCTGAGCATCCTAACTCCTTAGTTACTCAAGCCAGCCCAGCCCACTCCCAACACATGGAAGAGAGAGTTGTCACGTTCAGGTTTGCCACATTCAATTTTGCCTCGCTAGGACTCATCTGGGTGGGTTTTAAGGGCGAGGCAGCTGTGACCCTACAGATGTGCCTGTACATCTTCCCTCAGCCCTTAATTAATCCCTGGCCCTGCCTGGTTGAAGTGATCTGGAGCTTAAACATCTCTAGAGAGCTCCAGAATGTTTTCAAGTGGAGCGTGAAGAGGAGATATGCACTGTCTCTGGAACACTCAGGTTTTTATATGCAATTAAAGTCATTTGACAGAAAGGCACCATTAAAATAAATGAGGGGGCTGTTCCCTATTAGACAATTCTGCCTTAAGCAGGCATATTACATATTTCATGAGCGTCTTTTCTTAACTATAGAGCAGGGGTCGGCAAACTTAAACACTCAAAGAGCCATTTGGACATGTTTCCCACAGGAAAGAAAACACTGGGAGCCACAAAGGTCCTAACCGGAAGCCCCCTGTTCAATTCTGGAGCTGACCATAAGTTCAGTTCCCCCACACAGAGTCTCCTCCTAGCGCGGCGTACTTTTTCCTCTACCTGTCATAACCGAAAGCCCTATCAATTGTGGAGA